TTTTTTATACGCATTTTACCGACATTTTTTAAAGTTGTCTTATATGTCTGGATTTGTTACTGATTTCCTCCTAAAGTATGATATATCCTTTAGGTACTTACTTAGTTTTTCATTCTTCCGTTGTTGTGTCTTCTACGGTAGGCAATTCATTTTTCCTGTATAACAATACATCAGTTATCCTTCCTGTTACTTGTATTAACTTATAGTTTAAGCATGACGTTTACTCAGGTTTCAGAAAACAGAAAGGAAATTTTCGTATGATATGTTAAATCAAAAATAGTTCTAAATAAATAAAAAAATCAAGTTTAAACTCAATATCAATTAAAAAAAAATATTTTTCATTTTTCAAAGAAAATAAACAGGAACAAAAATCAATGTATGGTAATGCAGAGGAAATTTGGATTAAATTTTCAATTTTTCATTTATATTAATTTTTTCCCTTGCAATATTAATCACAATGTAAAGATTACATGTATTTTTAAACATCATTTTGCAAATATTATAGGTGTTAAAGCCCATCAATTATTTTAAATAACTAAATGCTATGAGATAAAGGATTTCAAAAATATAAACAAAAACCATTCCAGACAAGATACATGTATCTCAATAATTTGATCATTGACCCCATATAATATTAAAACCATGAGAATTAGGGCAACAAAAGTAACCCAAGGCTATAAGTAATTTAGGGTTTTTATCATTCAGATTTTTTAAAATATCCAATTCAATATTGGGGAAAAATATATATATGACAGAGGAAATTCAGACGTTAATAATATTAAGTTTTTGGCACAAACTCAAATCTTTTTATGCCCGCCCCCCTTCAAAGAAGGGAGGGCATATTGCTTTGCTGCTGTCTCTCGGTCGGTCGGTCTGTCGGTCCATTTAGTTTCCGTTCATTTTCTTCACAACTGTTGCACATACTGAAATGAAATATCTAAGTCAAGTTTTGTTTTGGTAATGATTGCGGCATTTTTGACAGAGTTATATTGATTTGAACATATTTTATTATGTAAAATACATAATTGGATTGGGCAGCAGGCATAGCCTATATAAGCCCTCTCCATAGGTACAAGGTTAATTAATACACATAAAGTAACAGGTTTATATATGACCAATAAGTTATATTTAACAGACACAAATTTGAATGGAACATAGGGGAAAGAAAAATACATGAGTGAAGAGAGAAAAAGAAAAAACAACAACAAATGAATACCGGTTTATAAATGTGGAAATGAATTGAAAAAAAAAATCGAAAAAATGAGAACTACAGCAATTTATAAACATACAATGAATGTGTATTTAATTTAAGACATAAACCGGAATAAGTATTACATAGTTACACTTCATTTATGAAACCTTTTGGTTTGTGATATATATATTTGTGAACACAATCAAATAATTTCATATTTTTTGCAGATGAAATACTACTATCACCAAATAATAAAAGATTTAGGGAAATAGGAATAGAATTTTGCAGGTCTATACTAGATATACAGTTAAAAAGAGTGTTTCTTTGCTCAACATAACGTGGGCATTCAAAGAAAAAATGATATGCATTTTCTATATGAAAATCACAATTTTCACATTTTGAGTTATCACTTATATAATCTTTCAGTAAATCAGCATTTAAACTACTAGCATTATTTCTTAGTTGACAATGAATAATATTTTGACTACGATTTCCATGATTAAAAAATTTATTGGGTGTTCTATAATGAGTTTTTTTAATGGCATTAATGAAAGAAGATAATGTTGGTAAACTCATAATATGGTACGGTAAACTATTCCATAATTTAATTGTAGATGGGAAATAACTATTCATAAATGATGTGGTCCTCGTCTGAGGAATAAGAAAAGTAAGACCATCATTATTTCTTAATGAATATGAGGTTTGGGGTGGAATACAAGGTCTTAGAAGATCGTGAAGGTACTGTGGTGCTAACCCATACACAATTTTGTAAAATAATATTAATTTATGTACTTTCCTTCTGTCAGATAATGTATTCCAACCCAATTCATCATATAAAAGTGATCTTGATGAGTTCACTCTCATTCCTGTAATAATTCTTGCAGCAGTAATTTGAACTTCTTCCAATAAAGATGACTCCTTTTCATTACAATTTCATTAAAACTGGTCTAATAAATGACATATATATTTTTATTAGCGCGTCTCGACAAAGGGAATGTTTTAACATTCGTAGAACATTTAACCGTTTACATGCTTTTTCATAAGTAATTTGTATGTGAGATTTCCAATTTGCATCACACTGAAAATTTAGTCCCAAATGTGTGTGATTGTTCGATGACTCAATTAAGGGGCCATTTAAACCAAATTTAACATTGGGTTGAGAAAAATGTTTTCTGGAAAAATTTACATTCACTGTTTTCTTGGGGTTAAAATCAACTTTCCATTGTTTTGACTACTGATCCAACTTTTCTAAATCATTTGTTAATGAGTTTGCAGCACTGACAATGTCATTGTCATCAATATATAACA